ATTACTGACTACTCTACTCACTATATCGTGGTCCATCTCCATCATCAATTACACCACCCTCGCCTTCGTTTCCATCATCACCATTTCATTCACATCAATACAACCATACACGTCATCATCATCGCTATCCTCGTCATCTCCATCATTATCACCAATGGCCACTACTATTAAAAATCTTCATCCCATGGTCACAAGAGGGAAAACTGGAATTTCAAACCTGAGGCACATTTGGTTGAAATGGAGATAGAGCCTTCAAATGTGTTTGAAGCAATGCAGTAACCTGCTTGGAAAGATGTTGTGCAGGCAGAATATTCAGCTCTATTAAAGAATGGTACATGGGAGCTACAAGAATTGCCTTCTACTCGCAAACCGTTTGGTTGTAAATGGTTGTTCAAAGTGAAGAGAAAACCAGATGAGTCCATTAATCGTTTTAAAGCTTGTCTCGTGGCGAAAGGCTATTCTCAAACAGTAGGGACTAACTTTCAGGAGACGTACACAGTTCTGTTGTCCGTGCTTCTACAATTCAAACTATTTTAGCAGTTGATGTGCTTCAAGGATGGACGATCAGACAAGTGGATATTAATAATGCCTTCCTGAATGGAGAATTGACATGAGTCAACCTCCATGTTTCAAGCAAAAAGGCCCTAATGGGGGGAAAATCGGTGTCACCTTAAAAAGTGTTGTTCTTACTGTAAATTTAGGATTTGTTGCTTCAAAGGTTGATCCTTCATTGTTTATTACAAATAGTGACAACTCAAAACTTTTACTAATGGTGTATGTTGACGACATCATTATTTCTGGCAGCAATATGAGTGAAGTTGATAGTATTGTTCATCAGATTAATGCATAGTTTTTGTTCAAGGATTGGCGCAAATTGAATTTTTCCTTGGAATGGAGATTCAACAAAGTGCTGCAGGATTGAATCTCAATCAAATAAGGTATATTTCTGAACTGCAGAAAGAAAATATGCATCGTGCAAGTCCAACACCTACTCCTATGGTGGTTACCCCTAAGTTGGTGTTTGATGAGGGGAAAAGGTTCGATGATATTCATCTTTACAGGAGTGGTGTCAGAGTTACGATATGTTACTCTAACAAGGATTGACATTGTTTTCGTGGTGAATAAGGTCAGTCAGTATATGAATAATCCTTGTGTCTCTCATTGGAAAACAGTCAAGCGAATTCTTTGTTATTTGTGTGAGACACTCACTCATGGGTTGGTATATCAACCTTCAGCCACTCTTGATTTGGTATGCTACGTTGATACAGACTGGGAAGCTTCAATAGAAGATCGTAGGAAAATGTCATTTTATGTGTGTAGTTTACCATTATAATTGTAAACATTTATTATAAATCTGAATAATTTTTATTTTTAATTAAAATAATAGCTTCTACCTGTAAAAAAATTCCGTTTTGGTATTATAATATGATAATTTAACAAGAAAATAAATAGTTTATGAGTTAAAATATTTGTATATTTAATTTAATAAACTGAAAAGGAATTGAAAGAGACAACACATGGAGCAGATAAAGTGAAAGGGACAATGATCGGCTTTACGAGGGGCCATTGTGTCCAAGCCCAAGCAGACAACCCATACGGTTGAGCTTCATTCCTTCAATGAGACAATTGACCCATTGAAAACCTTGTCCATGTTTCTCTTTTTTAAAACTTCCTTTTTTATTATATTTTAAATCTAAATAAATTTATTTCTAATTAATGAATCATATCATTTGGAATGAATTTGGTTGTTGGATATATTTTATTTATATCAATTATTTCTATTGATTTGGCTAGTCGAGAAGTACGATAGAGAACATTTGATATGGACGAAATTTATGTCTTTTAATCTTTGCTCTATTTTCGTTACATGATAATGAGTAAAGAGGGACAGCTGTAGACATCATCTTTCGTCCCTATGTTATAATTATATGATTATAAAATGTATATTATATATATATATATATCATTTACATATCTTATTTTATTTTACAAGCCCATCATTCATCACAACGGTGGCCCAGAAAATCAATATATAATACTAGGACAACCCGAACTTGACCGGTGACCCAGATCCAGTGGAGCTCGGCTCGAACTGGTATGTTAGGGTTTCCAGAACCCTAGTTTCTCATCAGTGCCGCACGCCTCCTTTTCGAAGACCCCTCACGCCTCCCTCAGCAGTTTTTCTCGGCTCAACGCCATGTACTTGTGGTACACAATAACAACCAACAAAGAGGATTTACAATTCGCATAGGACTCGAAAATATCAAAACTAAAAAATAGGGTTTTTAGACCATAAATATTGCATGTAAACCACAAGAGATGACACACGAAATACAAGAGAAAAATACGAGGAAATACGAAAGAAAACCAAAAAAATCAGTGCAAAGAAGAAGTGTAAACTTTCGAAAGTAGAAATAAAAGAAGGTATTTTTTTCTTTTTTTACCTCGTTCGGTTTCTGTTCCCTGTATGTGGCTTTTTTTTCTTCTTTTTTTCATTCTTTTTTCGTTTTTACTTCAAAAGGCCGAGGATTCGGGGGAGGGGTTTTTTTTCCGAAAGATCTACTCTAGATCTAGCCCTCCTTGAGGCCGTTTTTCAAAAATAAAGGGGATTTTTAAGATTGGGGTATGAAAAGCATTCGAAATTAAAAAAAATTGTCGCCAACGAACGACGATCGGAATCTGGGTTCATATGAACCCAGTGGCCGTGTTCTTCAATGATGAAGAACAATTGAGAGAAAACATAAAAAATGGGGGCTTTTGCTTGGCAAAATGAAAAAAAATGAAATGTTTGGGTTAATTTTTGGGTTTTATACGACCCGTTGGATCGATCCATGGCCCGGGATCCGCGTGTTTTTGAATAAAAAAGGAGAAACCCCATTTTGGTCCCTACTCATTTTTAACCTTCATTTTACCCCATAAATTCTCATTTTAACCTCAATTTTCTTTGAAATTTACCCCCCAATTTGCTTTTATGTTAATTCAGTCCTCTATTACTAATATATATATATATATATATATTATTTATCTAATTTAGCATTAATATTTATATATATTTTAGTCTTTTTTTAATTTTATTAATAATACGTTTTTTTTTTGTTTTTTTTTGTTTCCATTATTTTTTTTGTTTTAATTTTTGTTTTATTTAATGTTGTTTTATTAATTTTATTAATTTTGTTTTATTTTATCTTTATTTATTTTATTCTATTTTTATTGTAATATCTTTTCCATTTTTTTCTCTTTTATTATTTTATTTTTATTCTTTAATTTATTTAGCTAATTTTTAGGGTTTTTTATGTTTTCTATTTTTCCCCTTTTCTTCATTATGGTATTTGTTTACATTTAATTTTGCAATTAGTATTTGCATTTTCTATCTTAATTCGATTCTGCACTTTATTACAAATCTAACATTTCTATCTTTTTAAAGACATTCATTAAATCGATCGGAGGTAAGTAATTAGGATCATATTTTACCTTTTAATTTAAATTATAATTTTATTAATTAAAGAAAATTAGAAATTAATTAGTACCGAAAGGACAGTGCAAGGGTGTTAACCCTTCCTTGACTGTAACCGACTCCCGGATCCGATATATCTTTGGTAAGATGCAGATCAAGTAAGAAATCGAGGTATCCATTCAACCTATTTTTTTTTAAAATAAATGATTGGTGACGACTCTAACCATTTCATTCAAGTCGAAGCCCAATTCCAGGCCCACCCAAAAGACGGTTCCGACATATTAATTTATTGTGTTAATGATGATAGGAAAATATCCTATTATATGTTTAGTTTACCGTTATAATTATAAACATTTATTATAAATCTGAATAATTTTTATTTTTAATAATTTAATAAACTGAAAAGAAATTGAAAGAGACAACACATGGAGCAGATAAAGTGAAAGGGACAATGATCGGCTTTACGAGGGGCCATTGTGTCCAAGCCCAAGCAGACAACCCATACGGTTGAGCTTCATTCCTTCAATGAGACAATTGACCCATTGAAAACCTTGTCCATGTTTCTCTTTTTTAAAATTTCCTTTTTATTATATTTTAAATCTAAATAAATTTATTTCTAATTAATGAATCATATCATTTGGAACGAATTTGGTTGTTGGATATATTTTATTTCTATTAATTATTTCTATTGATTTGGCTAGTCGAGAAGTAAACCATGAGAAAAGTCATAGCCTTTTTATTTAGAAATATCCGTATGTTGATTTTCTTTTAATTTTATTTTTTTAAGATAGTATATGTTCATAATAATGATAGACACAATCGTTTGAATCTTATTGCCCATCTAGCTCAGTTGGTAGAGCGCAAGGCTCTTAACCTTGTGGTTGTGGGATCGAATCTCATTGAGGACAATTCATAACGGAGGTCTTCCACGGAAACTGCTTTCAACCTAGCATTGGGGACAACCTACTACCCTACCTCCCTCTTACTCTAATACATATGAAAATAGGGTCAGCTAATTTACAATCGTTTGAATCTAAAATCTATGAAAACAACAATACACCTTAATTGTTAGTCTCATTATGAGTTTATTTTTAATTTTACTTAAATATATTAGATCGAATAATAATAATATTTTTATTATTTAATATAAACCGCGTCAGAGGCAGGAAATTGGAGGTTTGGGTTGAATAACCCCATAGGTTATGGGGGTACCCTTAACCCTTTTTGGCATTTGAATAAGACCTTTGCTTCTTTATTAATAATTCAACGCACCCAAAGAGACAAAAACCTTATTGTCCCAAAAGACCAAACAAAGCCACTGTATCTGTCTCCCTATTTTATAGGGTTCATACCTCGCCATTGAAGAAGTTCCCATTTACAATTCAATCTCTACAAGGGTAAAAATCCATTCCGAGTTAAGCATGCAAGTTACCTATGAAACAGAAGATTCACTATATCTTCTTTGACATTTCAAAAATCTAATAAGACAAAACCTACTTTAGATGATATTAATTAAAAAAAATTGAATTAACAAATAACGAACAACTTAGTCGGGATTCTTACAAGCACACATGACCAAGGAGAACTCATCTCTTTCCTTTAGCTTCTGTTCTTCCAACTTGCTGTTTTTTTCTTCCAGCCAAAGCCTGCAATCTAATCCACTCCTTGTCCTAAACATGAACACAGCACAGCCTGATGTCTGGTTAAACAGCCAGTCATGCAAATCCCACATCACATCTATCAACAATCCATCCAGAAATATTATCTGATTCCCTCTGAAATTCCACCTCAATCTCTTCACTTGAAACATCTTCTTCTCATCAATGGTGACCGTCAATTCAGGGTTTTTAAACCCTTTCTGTTTCCCTTTTTCTTCGTTGCATTTGATCAATATGTCGTGAGCCAATCCTTTGACGCAAAACTGTGCCTTTGTTGAGTATACGCTGGTGGTGCCTATGAAAACATCACTCCTCGAAACCAATGAAAATTCGGGTGTTGGATTTTGTTGTTCATTCGTATGAAAAATGCTCATATCCCCAAGAGATAAACAGAGCTGCGAATCGACTAAAACGATGACCGAAAACCCGGAGCTCGGTTCGGGTCCATTGACGTACCGAGCGTCGGAAACATCCCAAATGACTTCAATCTCTGAATTGCAGGCTTTGAACGTCTTGCTGCCTTTGCTCTTAGTGAGACGGTGCGAGTTCGGGCCGTGTTTCGATGCGGTTTCGCCGACGTTGATCGTTAGGCGGTGGCCGAGGCGATTGTTGGACCATGTGAGGGTGAGGAGGACGTGTCTTTGAGAGGAGAGACTAGCTTTGTACATACATTTCACGGTGTTTGGGGTTGAAGGGGCAAAGCTTGGGGAGAGATAGGGTTGGTTTGAAGGGCCTGAACAATAAGAACCCGACACTTTTATGGCATTTTCATTGTAACAAGACGCTATGCTCCTCATCGTAAGAAGAAAAAATTCCCACAAAGAAAATGAAGAAGGAAAATTTGAGCCTTTTTTGCCTACTTCCGTCGGAATGTATGCTGGTTGAGGCCAAAGAGGCTTCAAGGAACAACAAAATTGACTCAGTTTACTCCTTAAGAAGTTTCAGTAAAAATATCAAATAAATAGAATAAGTTGAAAGTGTTATTTATAGACTTTCTAAAGGAATTCTTTTCAATTGGAAGATGGAAGGTGAAAAAATAATACTACAGTCTGTGTTTCCCCATGTGGACTATTACTTTATTTATTTATTTATTTATTTATTTGCTAGTAGGAAAATGAAAAAAAATAAATAAAATAATATTACCGAATCAAGAAGATTAAAAAATATAATATGGAGAAGAATTGATGATAGTGAATATTTTGGTCCTACGAATTAAAATATGTGTTCCCATTCACCTACTAACACCTAAAGAGTAAAGGCCACAATGGGTGAAGGATCTCCCTACCCACGCAGTCACTTATTACAAGAAATAAACCTCAACTTCTATGTATCCTTAAAAAAAGCCTTCATTGTAATACTAATGATTAAAAAACGTATTCGATGTCAAATGATTGAGATTTATCTATGAATATATATTGTCTTGTATTTGTCTCGGATTAATAAAAAATAACGATTAAATATGTATTTATTAAAGTGAAACTGGCGTAATTAATTGAAAAAAAAAGTTAAATATTAGATTTGTCTGATTTAATTGGAAATTAGGGGTGTTTGGATTCAGTCTTATTGTCTTCCCATTTCACTCAGTTATCAGGTGGTAGGGTTATAGTGTTATACGTGGAATAAACATGTAAATAAGAAAGATGGGTTTATATCTAATATACAAACATTGTGTGTACAATTAATAGGGAAAGGAAACTAAAATAATATCATTCATAATAATATATTAAAATCTGATTAATTAATTGCATCAAGTATGTAGGGTTGTTCATGGCAGTTTTAAAACTGGCAAGCGGGAACGTTTTAATTATAGAGCAAAGAAGGATATTTAAGTAATTGAAGACATGACAGATGGGCATTGGACAAACCTTAAAAACAAATAGCAAGCATAAGCTTTATTGTGGGGATGATTAATTAACCACAACTTGAGGAAAGTTTTACAGTGCGACACTTTAAACCGGTAGAAATAATAATACTTTCGGTAATTTTTACCGATTTTATTATATAAATACTAACAAAACCGGTAGCTTTTTTTAGCCGTATATTAAGGCTACCGCACGTGATGATTTCCCGCAACTTGATGCAATGCAGGCCTCCATGGATTTGATAGATATATAGGGACTTTCTATTATTATTATCTGATTAAGGAGACAGATATTACATTTTCTAAGGTAAATGCGAGGATTTGAAGCCGCTTATAAGCGAGACAACATAAGTCATTGTTCAAAATATTCTTACGTAATTTTTTTTAAACAATTTGAAATCCGAATTAACTATCATTTAACAGATAAATTATAGTTATAAACAACCATTTTGAACTTTGAAAAATAATAGAATTAATGTCAGTAATCACAAGAAAATTTACTAGCGTTACACTAAAATATAATATTGATAATAGCAGGACGATCAATTATGGCATAATTAAGTACATGGATTGATTCTTTAAGTTGAGCATAATGCAGGGACGAAAAGTTTGATTTAAGCAATAAAATATGTAACTTCCTGCCAGAGGTAAAGTATGGATAGGGAAAAGCTCACCATTGTCTATGCTTTTTGAGTATTGGGAATTTATTCTTACAACAACTTGACCTTAAATTGGTATTAACTTATACACGTTTCCACAAGTATTTGACCATCAATTTCTTATTGGGTAAACTACAAATTTAGTACTTAAACTGTTAATTTTGGTCCGTTTTAGTACCTAAACTGTCAACTTTTTTTCAAAATCATATCTAACGTTTATTTTTTATTTCATTTTAGTATCCCACCTTCAAAAACTTAACCCGTTTAATACATAAACTATCATTCTTGGCCCGTTTTAGTACCTAAACTTTCAAAAAATTTCTTCAAAAAGTAACGTTAAATTTTGAACGGGATATTAAAATGAAATAAAAACTAAACTTTAGGTATGATTTTAAAAAAATTTGAAAGTTTAGGTACTAAAATAAACAGAAACTGATAGTTTTGTATTAAACATGTAATTTACCTTTCTTTATTATATAAAATGCTAGACAAATCAAATTTAACATAATTTCATCATTTAATTCAAATTTGTAATCATTTGAACTCAAAACTATTCGAACTTAAAATAATATATATTTATCATCAATTTTATATAATTTAAATGAATATAATAAAAAATAAGAGTTGATTTTTAATAATAAATTAATCATAGTCAAATCAACATAATGTGTAAATATTGAGGGTTATATCTGTTATTTTATCAATCAAAATTATATAAAGGTAAAAATATTGCAAAAGTAATTATTTATCTTTAATTACTCGCTTCCAAAACCAGTAGAAATTAAATATATGGCTCCACTTTTTGAGAGGGATTGATTTATCTATTTCTAAAATTGAAAGGGACTTAAGAAGTTTTTTAGCCAAAAGTTCCGAGGAGCAAGAAAGCAACTGTGAAGCTGCCTTAAAATAATAGAGTTTGGTACCCAACTGATCTAATAAATGGACCATCTCAACTACTTTGAAACTATTTGTGCTCTTTTAGGAAACTATTTAGCAAAAATGAAATACTGTTTTCTATAGAAGTTTCAGGTCCAAGCAGTTGAATTTGTAGAACGTAAGTGTATTATCATAAGTTTAAAAAAATGAACAAATATTATTTTATAATCATCGCATAGACTATTTAAAAATAATAACGATTTTTATTTATATTTTTTCACATTACACCTTAAATTATCTTTTATATAATTTATCCTTTAATTCTGATTTTCATCTAAAATGTACGGTCGTTTCTATATATTTACTTTCAAAATTGTGAATTATCGGAATACAATCAACTTGCTAATATATTGTAAATCTTTGCATCATCAATCGGTTTTCAGTTAAAGAGTTGCTTTGGATGGACAACCGGTTTCTGGGAATAATTTTGGGACTAGTAAAAGCTATCGTTGAGGAAGAGACAAGTTTGGTGGTAGAAAACAGAGAATGGAACAAAGAAAATGCAGGTTTCCAGGTCAAGGAATCATTAATAAAGGAATGATGAGTGGTGACAAAATATGATGTTCAATCATGAACCCTTTCATCAATACTGCTTCCAAATTTGATCCCATTTTATTAAATTATATTATTCATTTATAAAAAAATAAAATGTGATGCCGGCTTTAACTTTGTCTACCATGTTGTCTTTGTTTTTGTTTGATTAAATCCTGCTTTTTAATCCTTTTACCATATAGTCACTTCACACAAAAACAACTCTTCCAGCTAATGACATTATAAAACTTCATGCAAACTCAACTTTATCACACTAGTGTAGTAGGTGTAAAAAATATATTTATGCAAAAATATATGTTTATGAAGAAAAAACAAGTGTTGAGGTTGTCTATTGTCCAGTAACATTAAGAAGCCAAATTGGCCACCATATATGCATGTGTCTATCGACCAGATACAATTATTCCATCTCATTGTCATTTTTTGAAGCCACCATATCAACCCTTTCCCAGACCAACTTTTGCATTCCAAGACACCCCTTTAGTTCGTTATTTTAGGCATCCTTTCAATTGCCTAAATCTACAAAAATTAAAGCTTCAAACATTTATAAATACAAAGAAGGTATGAGTTGTTAATTCTAGACACAAGGGAACCTTAGTTATCCCAAAAATAAAAAGACATGAAAGTGCCGAGTTGCTTCTCATTTAATAAATCTCAGACACAATCTTTTTTTTTTTCATACAGAACTATGAGAAAGAAATACATATATGATACAACTTCCATAATTGCATGCGAAATTTTACTTCCACGAAAAATAATCTGGAAAGTCCCATGTTGAGAATCAGCGAGTCCCGTTTGGCTATTTGGTAGACATGTACAATTACTACTGCAAACAATCAAACGAATGCAAGTATATAATATTATTCCCAACTCCTTCCAGTTAACATCATAATTCTCATCAACAACGAAAGAGTATGCATATGCATATACGTCGGCCCATGAGCACCGTAATTGTGACGAGGAGAGACAATGAAGTTTCATCCAGTAACATTATACAGCCTCGAGCTTTTACTGACTGTGAAAACCTCTCTCGCGAAGAAGCCAACCGTGACCTCATTATTGAAAAGAGTCCAACAGAGGACCGTATGCGGGTGATGCTGAAGCATGTAAAAGTGCGTACCTTAGACTACCTAACAGCAATAATCCCTCCATCTCATATAATGTCAAAAAGAATCTTGTATTATGTGCAAGATGACGACTTCATAGGAGTTCCAACCATTCAGGTGAGGAATGGCATGTCAGCACGCCCCGTTTGAGGGGTAGAAGGCTTATTAATCAGCGACTTCAACCGTTCCATGATACTGGAAAATGATGGACGCTTACAAGGCTCACTGCATTAAAAATCAACAATGACAACGATGAAAGAGGGAAGTTTGCTCATATCACAAAATCTTTTTTGACTTACTTGGCCCAGCAATCCTCGATTATGGCAGCCACTTGAGGATTCAAATCCCGAGGAATATCAAGCCTTTTGCCCTTAAAACCAACAGCCGCTACTACCTGCATAACAATTCAGATTGGGCTATGTTTGTTAGAAATTAAACTCCAGAAGATTGTCACTGCCTGACAATATGTAAGTTTACGAGATAGTAAAAACCCAAAGTTCAAAGGCAAATTAGAGAAAAAAATGCAGATATATCAATAGTTCACGTTCATTGAGGGGTATGTTATTCAACAAAGTGCAAAACTTAGATACTCCATTGCAAGCTGCAAAAATTTCAAAGAGCTTCCCTTCACACTTTTTCCAGACACATTCACAAACATTAAGTTAAGTAGACAAACTTGAGCTTTA